TTTCTCAGTCTCACAAGCATCTGTGCAGCACTGGCTTGTAATGCACTCTGGTTTTAGAGCACTCTTTATAGGCACATGAGATTTTGTCGTTGTAGTTTACCTCTGCAAGTATGGGCTTCTCTTGAAGTATCTGTAGTGTTGAAATAGAACTAAAATAAGATAAAACTGAAACAGCAGTTTGTAACCATGGGTTGCATTACAAGAAATAAAAAATAAATTAAAAAAAGAAAAGCCTGGTATCACTTACTGTTTCTGTATGATAAATGGACAAAAGATGAGGTGGAGAAGAACCCTCTGTATTCAGTATACATAAACTCTTTGGGCAGAAGAGAGCCTTCAGCATTCTTCCACAGCCTGTGTGTTTGCTCAGAAGCTCCCACAGGGCTGGGGACCAACAGGTCCTTGCAAAGTGAAGCACTAACTCAAACTTCACCCTAGGAGCTTGGCCAAGCATAAAAGAGAGACCCAGCCTGCAGGCAGATCTGCCTGCCTTGAGATAAGGTTGCCTTAAATTTTACTGCAGATCCTCCTGCCTGGAGTCTGCTTCAGACATCTCTGTCTCTATCTAACCTACCTTTCTGGAGACTGATGTCTTTACTCTCTGCCCTGTGTGCCTCCCACTCCCCTCTTTTGCATACAGGGAGTCATGACTCCCTTGACCTCCTCGTGCAGGTTTTGCAGATGAAAATGGCCACCAGAAACCCCTCCTCTCCAGAATTCTGTGCCTCTACCTGAAGCCTACATGGGAATTCACATGATGCCACAATATTCATGATTTGACACCTCCAAGCCACCCCACAAGGAGATGATGAAGCTCCAGCATGACCTGTCTTTCCAGCTGACGCTGTTTCAAGGTTCTGTCTCATCAGTGCCCTTTACTCACATGTTCAAACTCCATATCACCCGATATTTCTAGCAAAATGAATCCAAGTTAACCTTTAATCATCCTCTGTAACCACTGGTCAATTCCACCTGCCTGTTCTTCCCAGAAGCTGCCTCTGCCTGTGCTTCTGAGGAGGACACCTAGAAACTCAGAGGTACTAAAGCTCCCCCTGTGCTCAACAAGAAACTGCTTCTGGTTTTCTAGACACTTGTCTGAAACACATCAGAAGGTTTCTTTTGTCCTAAAGAACAGTGATACAGTGATGTACCTTCCTATTTGGCATATCCTCTAGTTGCCTACCCCTTCAGTAGGGAGCTACAGGGATGGTCTCTGTCCTGAGCTGTGCACTAGGGGCAGAGGTGGCACCACCATTTTGTCATTCATCAGATGTACAACCCTGAAGGAGGTTGTACACCTGAGAAAATGCCTCTGGACCTCCACACAGTAGTGACTGTACTTCATCTGCTAACAGCTGCTCAGTTGTCTGTCTGCTAACAACTGGAGTAACTTTCTCCTATTTTTCCCTTCTGAGCATTGCTGTACAGAGGATGAGGAAAAGAGGAGGAAAAAAGAGGCACAAAATACTCACAAGTTTGGTGAAATACCTGACACTGCCAGAGGAAAAAAACCTGGACACCCTAACTTTTGCTTATATGCTTGAATCACAAGTCCATCCTTCTTTTCATAGCAAAACTACAGAGCAACGACTATCAAAGAGCACAAGCAATGTAAGTCAGTTCTTGCAGAAGGAAATACATCTGGGTGCCGATAATAAGTCCGTACTGAGGTAACCAAGGTATGTTGGACACCTGATGACATATAAGGCTGTCCTATCTGTGCTGAAAAAAACCCTTTTCTTATGTCTTTATCTACTTCCGTTTGGAAAAATACTGGAAAACATTAAAGAAATTAGTAGAGTGTCTCAATATTAAAGATACTACTGGAGAACAAACAAATAAATGCACATAAGACGCTTCATGATCACAGCTGAAATAAACTGGTTCTGGCAGCAAACTTCTACTTAAGTGGTCACTGGACAGATTCCATCCTTACGACGATCTACTTTGAGAAGATTTATTCTTCCAACAATAACAGAAACAGTCACAAACAGAGGGAGTCCTATAAAGTAACTAAAGAGTACATGAGAACAATATGTGGTGTTTTTTTGTTGTTTTAAAACTGTTGGATTGTGTGTAGCTGTAATTTATAGCTATGTATCCAAAATCATTTACTTAGGAGTCTGTATATATTGCAGCACTTGATGTACAGGAAGAGGAAATAAATTGCATTTTACAGAATTCCCACCTCTGACACTGAGCCTGATGATTCACGCATCCCTGGAGGTCAGCCAAGGGACTCAAAAACCATGAAGCCCCAGTGCACACTGCGCATCTTACATGCCCTGCTCAGCTCTCACAGACCCTCAGTGTGGACACATCTCTAGAAAAGATGCCCCAGGGCTGTGATGCTGGCTGTTAGCCATCTAAAAATTTCCCTACGTAAGCAGGACTCCCAAATACCAATTTGAGTTTCTGATGTAGTGCACAGGAGTTAGAAAACTGCTGAGGTTCAATGCATGATATTTCTAGTTTATATTCAAACCACTCAATTTTAACAGTTTTCCTAAAAAAAACCGCATGGTTTTGATTATACTGCCTGATCATCTGTCTGTGATTCCTTCTGCACCAGTCTCCTCTCTGTGGCACGTAGGTGTCTCCGAGATTTGTGTCTTGGATCACCAAAGTGTTACTCCAATCACATAAAAAAAGGTGTAACTATGTTTCTTATTCTCTGCTGCCACACTCTTCCTGCCTCCTAACTGTTGTTATTTGTATTGGCCAAACTGGCAGCCACCAGAGATTACCTGCTGGCCCTATGGCTACCACAAGAGCCTGAGTTAATACAAGAGCAATCTTTGCTTACAATTAATGAATTGTATAGATAATAGGCAAGTACTAAGTAGGATTGTGTTTCCCAGGGCACCAAAGCTGGCTCGGTAGAAGACTGGCTGAGCCAAGGCCATACCGTAGAATCACAAGAGCACATGAAAACACTCCAGCAATGCTGGTGCTTGGCTACCTGGCTGATCATTATATGGTCATGAAATGCTTAGCACAAAGCAGTGATAGTTGATTATGCCTGCTAAATACTGCTGTGGTACTAACACTAAGTGGTTCTATTTGCAAGTCTGTTTTGCCAGTTCTTAATTGCAGTGAAACTTGGGAAGATATAAACATCAAAGGAACCCTTTTAGCTAACCAGATAAGTCTTGTCTTTATTCCTCTGACCTTTTAAAATTTCTCACCCTATTCAATTTGAAAACCTGCTGTAGGCTATTAGAATTTAAATTAATACATGCTTATTTGGAGACTGTAAAGGTAAATGAAAGGTTACATACACTGGTACAAAATTGCTTCCTTTCAATGGTTTGCAGGTACATAAGAAATAGCATTAAATACCCTTCTGGTCTCCCAGATTGTTCTTTATAATCGCCCAGGCTAGTAATTTTTTAACTGAATTTAAAATCTCTGCTTAAAGATTGCGATGTATCTTGAAGATGTATCTGCCTGCTCTCAGTACTATTTCTGTAAATTGTTACTAGCAAAAAACGTGTCCATCCCTTTTTTCACAAAACCTTCTGCAAAAGCATTAGAGGACTGACTTCTAAAACAACAAGAGAGTTGGGATTAGGAAAGGAACTTAATCAAAGGTCACTAGTGGGAAACAGACTCTTACAGACATTACTATGGCCCTTACAGCCATTTAAATGGCCCTAAAGTGAGACGTAGCAAAAGAACCCGTTCAACAAGAATGCAATGAGTAGGGATAGAGTCCCTTTTAAATTGCCTGCTTTGTCTTAGTCTATATTTGCTCTTATTTAAATAGCAAATAGTTCCCATTTATGTTCCAACCAGAAAGAGCTCTTAAGAACCAAAGCCTTTCTTGTGTATCACAGATGCTTGTTTTAAGGAGAAGCCATCTCAAAGCTCTGGATGACTTGGTTGGTCCCCACCCAGCAGGAAATCTTCTTTCTTCTGTTGTAAATAACTGGAAAGTTTTTTTTTTTCAATTTAAAAATAGTATCTATTACAAATATATTCTGTGAGAGAGTTCTGTGTAATCCGAAAACACATGAAAAGCGTTCAAATACTATAGGAATGAAAACTATAAAACACATTGTAGATCAATAAAAGACAGATTTTGCAAGTCCCTCTGCTTTCAGTACACAGTTGTGATAAGAGTCAGGTTCTGTAATGTGAGCGAAGATTTCCATGAGATTGTATTTTCTGGAGCTTTTAATTTCCATCCGCATGAACACACCATGCTGAAGCTTGCTAACAAATGTCACTTGAAGTCCAAAGCTTGTCACTATAGAGCAGGGTAAATATCCTCCCTGGGCTTTTCAGGACACTCAAGTAATGTCCTTAAGCCTTGCTACATTTGACTTCAAATATTTCATAATGCAGTTTGTTCTTACTTTTTTATTTAAAGTTGCTGTGGTTCTAAGAGCCTCAGAGACCTGGCAGACGATTCTTAACTAAACACTTTGTGATTTACATACAGTGTTCTGTTTCCACTGAATTTAGATAGCTAGAAACATTTTAGCTACTTAAACAAAGGAGCAGTCGTCAGTGTCATGTCTATCCCAGGGAGACTGTATTAGCTCCTGGGAAGACCATGCTGGGCTATCCAGAGGGAAGGGGAGCTGCTTTACGATGTTTCGGTGGGCTGCTCACCGAAATAAAATGGCACCTTCAATCACTTTCTTTCAGAATCTTCCCATTTCATACGAATTAAAAAAATAAATCAAAGTTGCCTTCAAATGTTTTCAGTCACTGCAAGTACATCTTTAACAGGGTATTGGTGCTAGGGGGATATGCAGGGTCAGAAATACACTGCCATTCCTCAGCACAGTGGGCAGAGCGCTAATGGTGGTCATTGATATCTGCATATACAGTTGCACAATATTTTACATATTGTTGTACTTGCAGTGCTCATTTTGCTTAAAGTATTACTAACTCTCCCTTCTCTTGATTCTTCTACCTTACTAGTAGAAAGCAAAGTAAATTATTTACCCAAGGAGCAGAGTGCCAAAGAAGTCGCCTTCTTTGTATTCATGTATCTTTTTTGCAGCTGCAGATGATGTTTGGAACACCCCACCTCACTGTGCTCTCTTGTTTGCACACCTGAGATGGAGAGGATGATGAAGAATCCTGTCTTGCAGACCCTCTGCAAAGCAGCCCAAGATAGTAGTTATGCTTTGAACATTTTTCTTCTGAAAATTCTCTTTCCCTTCTCTCCTAAGTCACCTGGCCCTGAGCACCTACCATGAAGCTTTCTACAATGCTTCAGTTAGATGAGGAGATAGGCATCGTAACTCCCTTTTGTGCTGCTAAGACACAACCAAAAAATTAAAGCAAATAAACTGATCTCACTATTGCGATAGTTCATCTGTGGTTCTATGAGAAAATTTTGAGATGTCTTATCAGGTAAAGACATCTACCAGAACCCAGAGCTGAATTTCTTCTGAGGAACTGGTGGAAACCATATCCATGCAAAATACTGGTCTGAAAAGAGGCTGCTGCTGACAGTGTTCCAGCCCTGTGACATGATGCCTCAGCAATGCTCTCTACTTGTAGAACCATGGAACCAATTAGCTTGGAAAACACCTTTGAGATCATCAAGACCAGTGTTTAACCCAGCACTGCCAAGCCACTTCTCACTCCACTGCCAAGCAGCAACACCATCGCAGCAAAGGGCATCAATTGGCATTTTCACTGGGAGGCTCTTTTTTGCTGATCAGTGACCTCCAGCTGAGTTTTGCTACTCAGAAGATTACTTCTGCCTAAAAATGTAAACATCTTTATGTTCAAAGTAAAAGTATTTGGGCACAGAAGGGGAAGAGAACATTAAGTGTGTATCTGGGTGAAATCTAGTAATTAAGCTGTCAAAATAGGTAAACAGTTTAATCGTTTGCTCCCAGTTTTAGACTTTTGAGTTTCATCCCAGACAAAAAACAGCATGGCAAGGTAAAGAAGATCTGACTTCCCATTATATTCTAAATAAAACAAATATAGCTGTTTGGGCTATAAACTACATTTCCTAACTTTCATCAATGTCTTGATTAAACTTCTCGGTTTGAATAAAGTTCAAGTACATGGACATTTATTAGTAATTAATCTGCCCTCAGCACCCATACATTGTAGTTTTTATTTGTTATCAGAATATCCATGGAAATTCTACTGTTAAGAAAATTGCTCACTGAAGAATTATTTGCAGCTTGGGTTTCCTTGGCCTCTATGTCTTAGCAAATACTTACTTTTCTTATGTTTTTATTTTTCATTCTACAACACACCATTCAATAACCAGTTTTGTATTCAAAAGTTATTTTGTATTTTGTAAGAACAGAAGAACTAGATTTTCTGAAATGTAGCAAACAATTGGGAACGAAAAGATCAAATTATATCTATTTTCATTTCATCATTTTATTCTTATTTTATAAAAACATATTATTTTGCCTTAATTTGAACACCACTCACCACAACTGCAGGATGAAAAATCAATGTAAATTTATAGAGGTTTAAATGTAAAATCTGTTTTTCTCCTCTTCACTTACACTTCTCATTTATTTAGTTTTTCTGCAGGACTATTCCATTTTTTTATACTTTGATGTCAGATACTTACAGTACAGGATTAAATTCAGACTGTTCAGATTGGATATAATATTCCTTACTGAGAAGAATGTCAACTACCACACATTGGATCTAAATTTTTTTTAATAACTGTTTGACTTCTTTCCATGTACAGCAGAACTGAACCTTTTGCAGTCTGAATCATTTGCAGTGAAACCTCTTATATTAGGCACTAAAGAGCTTTCTCTTCCTCCCAGGCCACTGGGTACAGTAGTGCTCTGATAAACCAGCTGCAATTAAGCAGTGTGGCTGAGGGAAGATTTGTTAAGCTATTTTGCTCTTTTAGGGGAGATAGTTTAAATTATAGATCTAAGAAGCAAATATTTCTATTACATGGTGCACACACATTTTCTGTAATGATTCTTGTCATGTTATATAGTATTTCTTGTGCAGAGCTCATAGATCTGGTGATCAGTGCTAGACACACGCTAGACAGATTTTACCCACAGTATTTCACTTAAGCCCAGGATTGCAAGTAGGCTGCTGTATTAAATCAATTTTTTGGTTCTCACACAGTAAAGCCATGTTAGATTTCCCAGTACTGGCACAGAAAGCTGAAATAAAATAACCATATTCCCGTGTAGATTTAGAACAGAACCAGTGCAAATTTACTGCTCCAATCATATAAATAGAGGATATTGGTATTTAAGATGAATTCAGAAGACTAACTCTTATATATTTAATGTATTTCCTTGCCCACATGTGATCAGAACTGTTAAAGATTATTATGTAATGCCTTTGGGATAAGGACATTAAAAATATACTTCTGTCCCAGTGAAAAAGCAGTTCCTGTTGAAGTTTCCACAAGCAGGAGTCCGTGCAGCCATGGGCCAGGGCAGTAACCCTGCCAAAATGCTGATTTGGGGGCTGCACAGCCGCATTACCAGTGTCCTCCTCTGCCCTGCCAGTGCTCTATTGTGGCATCAGGGCCTGATCCTGCCACCTGTTACTCTGCAGCAGCCAAAGACGAGTCAATGTGGTGATGGATGTGTGGGAATGGGCAAGTTACAGCACAGCCAGACTGTTCCTCTAGTGCCTCACTTGTTAACCCACAGCCCCAGAAAGCCATGACCAGTCTGTGCAAGTGGCAGCAGGCAAACTTGGAAAAACCCAACCCAAACCAAACCCCATATGACCTTTTTCCTTCTATTTCCCTCTAGGACTTCAAATGAGTCTTCCTCAATGCTGTCAGCCACAGAAGGCAGATCCAGGTGGATTTAAATCCTAGGGTGACACCAACATACCACTAGGAGCACAATAGCTCCACTAGCCCAGATTTTGCCTTCCTTTTATGCCATAAATGTTACTAAATTGGGCTTCTACATAGAAAGCTGGTTGCTATGTAATATAATAATCTTTTTTCTCCTGTCTCTATTGCCTGTATATTCACTGCTGGGCCCAACCTCTGTGGAAGAGACTACTCTCTGAATTACTGCCATGAGTCAGTGGGAATACAGTGCAAAAATGCAGCATTTTGCCCACTTTTTTGATGTTAACACATTAAAGAGTATGTTATGCTGAAGTTCAGCTGCCAGCTTTTTCATTAATTCTGAGTCCTATTTCAGGGAAATGTGGAGGTTAATTTCAAGCAGTCAAGGCAATTTCACTGGACCATAAAACAACTGAGCTTGTGTGGTGAACTCATAACCATAGCCCATAATAAGTGAAACATGGCATATACAGGGTAATAAGATACAATTGAGTACATTCAGTTTACCTTGTTTCTTAGAAAAGTTTTAAAGGAGCTTTACCTGTGAGACTACTTCTCCTTCGGTGTCCTCTCACTGAAGTAATTACATAGCAGATGTTCAGATGTTCTTCTTAACTATATTCACTTTGACAGGTCACCTTTTTGTTTGAGGTTTACTGATTTTATTGTTTCTGGATCGCTTTTTTTGAAGAACTTTTTCTTCTTTTCCTAGCCAAAATATCAACGAATATCTTTAGATATCTTTAGAGAAAAGAACTTTTCAGCAAAAATTTGATTGCTCTCTTGAGCTGAATGATACCAAAATCTAATACCTCTGGGCAACAGGGAGGCCCAAATTGATTTCATTATAATATGATGCAAAATATGGGTCTCATGCCGCAATAATCATGTATCTTCACAGCATTATCTGCTCTTCTGATTGGAAGAGGTCTGTGTCTTGATGAATCATGGTGACTCTAAACCACATCATTAACAATTCAGTAAATCAATATGAGAAAAGTAGTAGAGTAAAACCAATGTTCAGATTGTAATTTAACTGTGGCAGCTGTAACACTGAAAGTGTTGCACATGGAGCAAGCCAGAAGCTTACAGAGGCTTTGGAAGACTGCGGGCTACCACCACAGAGCACTGGGATTATCAGGATAGCTACATCTCCTCCTTCACTGTCATCATAGTTAAAAAACCCCAACCAGCCTACCTAGAGATACTGAACAAACTTGCTTTTTTACACACCTCTAAAAAAAAAGTGTGTGGTGCAGTCTGAGGGTCAGTATCTGTTCTCGTGCTTTGTCCTCAGCTGCTGGTCATCTGCACGAATTAGCACTTCCATGAGCAAGGAAGCCAAGTCCACCTGTGCAGGATGAGTGGACTGGGGCACTCTGTGGGTTTGAATCTCAAGGCTGAGCTCTTGTGGGAATTTGCTGCTGTCGAATTCTGCAGATGTTTTCTTGGATTCCCCTATCTTCCCCACGAGGTACTTTCATGAAGCATTTTGGGGCACTGTCACACACATGGCTATGACTAAGCAGAGAGTTTAGCATTTGTAGGGAGGGACCAGTGAGAGACTCCCCTAAAAAAGCAGAGAGCTGGCATGCTCATTCGAGCCTTCCCTTAAGAGGAAGTCAGGCCAAAAATAAGTTGTATCACAAAAAAATCTAAACCTCCCCTGGTGCCTCTTAAGCCCATTTCTTCTTATCCAGTTGGTTGTTACCTGGAAGAAGAGACTGATCCTCACCTCACTACAACCTCCTTTCAAGTAGTTGTAGAGAGTGATAAAGTCACCCCTGGGCCTCCTTTTCTCCAGGCTAAACAACCCCAGCTTCCTCAGACATGCTGTGGTCATTCTGTGTTCCTGTACTGTCACCAAATGCCAAGTTTGGAAACGATCTTTAGATTGCAAACAATTTTAGATTGGATATTAGGAAAAATTTCTACACAGAAAGGGTTGTCAAGCATTGGAACAGGCTGCCTAGGGAAGTGATCAAGTCACCATTCTGGGAGAAATTTAAAAGACATGTAGATGTGGCACTTGGGGACATGGTGGACTTGGTAGTGCTGAGTTAATGGTTGGACTCAATGATTTTACAGGTCTATTCCAACCTAAAAATTCTATGATTATATGATTCTATGACCAATTCCAACACAGGAATTTGTAGAAATGTATGACTGCAAGGTAATACCTTCCCATAAAAAATGGTAAAATGCACAGCTTTAGCTACTACAAAAGCAAAAAATAAAGGTACTAGCATTACTAAAAGCCTCTTTGATCAGTAGCAAGGGTTAATGCATTTTTTAGTGATAAACTGAGACTGATGATACCAGAAACTGATCAGGAGGGTTTTTTTCTGGTACAACAAGAACTGCAGACTACTGAGGCAGCTTTGTTTACATGTTCAGTTCAGTCAGCTGATGGCCATTGTCCCATGTGAAGTGAGACACAGATGATTTCTTCCCAGAAAGGGAGTTTGTCCAGCCTTAAGTAGAGTTCCCTTGAAAGAACACTGGTAATGGCAGACAGCATTTACCTAAACATACCTGGTTGCCAAAACAAGATTGTCTCATTTTCCTTTGCTATCTTGGCTAAAAGCCAAGTTCATTCTTCAAATCCCTTCTTTTTTTTTTTCTCTCTTCTTCTTTTTTTCCTTTCCATTTTTTTTCCTTTTTTTTTTAAGTTCTAGTGAGCAGTGATTAACAATTCCTGTATTCATGTTGC